GATCTCTTTTCAATACAAAACTCTCAAAGCTAAAGGAAAATATGAAAATAGAACAATACAGGTTGGCAAAGTAGTTCCAGTCTCCCAAAGTCAAACTGCAAAGCACGTTTTTTTCCCAGGGCCTGCTACCTGGCATAAAGCCTTCCCTGAGTGTGCTATCTAAATAAATGAAGACCTCCCGCTCTCATTTTCCTTACCATCATTCTCTATTTCACTTACACTGTTTTCTGTTTTATTTTTCTTCACCGCACTCATAACAAAATGAAATCATGTATTTGTTTACTGTTTCGTCTTACCCATTCGGCAAAGGGCACTGAGGGGTAGGGATTCAGTCTTGACACCATAGTACCATGATTACCCAGCACATGGAAGTCACTCTGTATATATTTATTAATTGAATTAATTAACAAAGAAAGAAAGGAGGGAGAGAAGAGAAAGGATTTTAAACCTCATATGAACAACCACACAATGTATACAAATTACATTATTTACATTTGTATGAATATTAAAATGTCCTCTTCCTAAGATGAGCAGTGGTGTGTTTCCTGAGTGGAGGCTTTAGTCCCATTTACAGCTGAATATTGAAAGAGCAAGGCCCTCCCCCTTATGTAACTAGTGTCAGAAAAAAAAAAGTCCAAATAGTCAGCAGAAGACTACTTTTGCGTATTAAGATTTCATTGATAATGACTTTGATATAAAACTTCTGAGGGGTGCTGACTTTAATAAGTCACTCTGGGCTTCAGTTCCATTAAATGTTGCCTCTTTTCTTCTGCATGAACCTTTAAAATTAAATCTTGTCTCTCTGCTGAAAAAAAATCATGGTAATTCTCTGAGTAGATGTGGTTTATCGTTCTTTCCAAAAAAAAAAAATTCTCATTAATCATACAGATAACAGTTACGTTCCTGGCATTCCAACTATCTTGAAGAAAGGAGGAGAAACGGAAAGGAAGTAGGGGAGGAGGAAGTGAGGGCACACACCAAGTCAATGGCAGGGCCAAGATCTGGATACAAATGTACTCTCATCACAAGATTCAGATGACCAATGACCAGTATTACCAACAGTTTTCTCAAGCTGGTGGCATAAGAAGAGGTCAGAGCCATGGCCAGCATGAAGGGATCTGACACACTGTTGCTGACGTGAAGATGGAAACAGGCTGGTCTGCTTACTGCCCACTGCTCTGCCTCTTCCATACTTTGCTTAGCCAGGGTACCCACTCCTTTTCTACCCATCATAGCTGGGTTGCAAAGTATAACTCAAATACCATCCCTCATATAATCCTCCACATACAAAAGGCACTAAAAAAATACTTTTACTAAAGTTCATCTCTTTAGAAAGCAAAGCATGTACACTGAGAAGAGACAACAGTTCTTTGATATTCACAATTTAAACAGTAAGCCCTTCATTCATGCCTATAATAGATGTGGCAATGGTTAATTTTATGTGTCAACTTGACTGGGCTACAGGGCACCAGCGTTTGACAGACATTTGGTCAAACATTATTCTGGGTGTACCACTGAGCGTGTGTCTGGATGAGATTAAACTCTGAGTCAGCAGACTGAGTAAAGCAGATTATGCTCCCTAATGTGGGTGGGCCTCATCTAATCAGTTGAAGACCAAAATAGAACAAAAAGGTTGAGGAAGAGGGAACTCCTCCTGACCCATTTCCCTGAGCCAGGAAATAATCTTTTGCTGCTTTTGGACTCAAATTGAAACATCAGCTCTTCTTGGGCCTTCAGCCTCTCAGCTTTCAGACTGGTATTTACACTATCAGTTCTCCTGTTCTCAGGCCTTTGGGCTCAAACTGCAACTATATCATTGGCTCTCCTGGGACCCTAGCTTGCAGACTGCAGCTCTTAGGATGTCTCAGCCTCCATAATCATGTAAGCCAATTCCTTGGAATAAATCAATCTCTCTCTCTTTCTATATATATATATATATGTACATCCTATTAGCTCTGTTTGAGAATAGTATTTACATTAATAAAATATTTCTTCTTACAACTGAGTTTTCATTCATGTCACACAGCAGTTCTGATAAGCACCTGGAAGACACATATTACATGGTATTTAACAGGATTAAATTCTTGTCCTCCTGAAAATTTTGCCAGAGCTATTAGAAAAGACACGCACTCTACCTAGGATCGCCGTCCAGAAGCCTTCTAACTATCATGTAGAAAGAGCTCCTCCAAGAATAAAGCCACAGAGATGGTGACAGAGGAGGGATGATGAGAAAGACACATCCACATGGTGCTATAGACCTAATTCAAACCCCTGAAGCCAGCTGCATTTAACATCAGCGCAAGTCTTTGATTTCTCAGTTATGTGACCAAATAATCTGTTTTCAAGATAGAGTTAAGTGTTACTGTTTGCAAATAAAATTGTCTTAACTAACTGAACACTTACAGATGAAAAGTGGGGCAGGCTTGGGGACATGAAAAGACCTTCACTCTGGCTTTATTCAAAGTTTTGTTTAAGGTCAAAGAAGGATTAAAACTTTAACAACATTAAAAGTATCGACATTAATATATCTATTTGCAAATTGAAGCAGGTGCTATACAGCTCCTGTAAGCTCTAGAAACTTCCTAATTCTTAAGCCATTACATTTACATACTCAATGAAGAACATGCATTTTTCATTATCAGCATTGCTAAACTTATAATTACCAAGAGCTATCCTCAAATCTTCAAAGACTAAATTCCTTGCCAAGGTTTCCAGTCTTCCAGTATCAAAGATAAATGAATGCATTATATATATTTCTTTTTTTTTAATTTTTACACAATACTTATTGAGACCTTACTATACGTGCCAGGTGGGCACAATCATCATTATCTATTTAATGGCCACTTCACTTCTATGAAGTATATACTATTATTGTACCATTGTACTTCACTGTAAAGTTTAATAGGAGAGATTATAATAATGTATCTACTACTACTAATAGTAGTGCCACACATTTGTCAAGACTGCACTATGTCCCACAGACTGTATTAAGTGTTTCACAAAAGAGTATCCCTTTTAGTCCTCATTTCTGAATCTTCTGAATTAGGTACGATTATCCTCATTTTATAAATGAGGAAGCTGAGGATGAGAGAATGAAATGCAGACCCAAGACCTGCACTTCCCATCAAAATCAGAACACAAGTACGGAAACAGTCCACACTACATCCCAATAAACCCTGTACCATTCTCCAAAGCACACTTCAAACAGCTTAATAAAAACCTGCACTCATCGACATGACGCTTGTTCTTGAATTACCATGTGGTTTACATTTGTATTTTCCTTTTTAATTCCTCAACTCTGGAAAAGGTAAAAATGCACATTAAAGTAAATATATATTATTTATTACAGCTTCAATGAATAAAAGAGGAGCACTCAGTTATAGATTAAATACTTCTTATTTCACAAGCTGTTCCAAAAGTGAGCAGACTTCAGGAATGATGAAATTTTATATCAAATTTGCATAGGTGTTAACAAACTGCCATTGAACTGAGAAGTCTTGTTGGAGGAAATCCTGTCCCTTTTGGCTCCTGAAAACGCTTCTGTACAAATTGTCAGGCAGCAGACATCCAAAGCCCATCTTTTAAAAAATCACACTGCACAAAAACCACATTTTTAGGCATTTTCTTGTGAGAAAGATGCATATGATTATAAATAGTTAAGAAGCGTAAGATGGCACTGAAAGCATTAAGTAATCCTGAGACAAGGTTCTAATCTTGTATTTACCCACATCAAGGACATACCACACATGTCCACACTCATACGTAACAAATGCCACCAGAAATATATTCACTGACAGTTCAGCATTGAGAAAGCTCCACACGACAAAGTTAAAATTTTTTTCGTATAGATAATCATTTTCTTACTTTGGGTAGCAGAAGTATGTTTACTGTATACATTACTAGGAGTCTCCCTGAAACCAGGTGCAGCAACACGGGAAGCAAAAAGAACCAAGGGGCTGGCCCTGTAAAACCAGCCATCACGGATCAAGCTCCAGTCAGTTAGAGAAGAGCCCCCTCAGCTGGGAGAACGGCCATCACACACTGGCTACACACTTTGTAAAATCTATCTTCCTAAACCAACATGGACTGGTTGAGTGTTTCAGAATATAATTAGATTTGGTTTCTGTATTGCAGGAAAAAATGTTTTTTAACGAGAATAGATCTTGAGAAGTTCAACACATAGTAGGGAGTGTTTGGTGGGTCTGCAGACCTTGAAAACTTGCTGAACTGACTCAGACAGCAACCAGGCCCTGATGGAGCAGGAGCAGGCGTGTGTGTTAATGCCTGACACACAATCCCATGTTTAATTTTGTAAAAATCTATTCAATAGTGGTATGTGGCATACTCTTTTTTTAATTTCAATTTTTTTTGTTTCATCAAATTCAGTGTTATTTTAGAGCTCAATCTTCTTGCACTGGGTGCCCTCAGCAGTCATCCTACTGTGTGTTTGCTATGTGAGCAGTGGGCTAAAAGGAAAAAAACGGCCCCTTTCTGTTCATTAATCCTCTGTTCTGTCACCATCCCCTACCCAAAAAAATTCCTATTTATAACTAAACTTAATTTCCATTCCAAAAGTCTGGGGCAGATTTCTTCCCATCTCTATTATATCTGAGTAGGTACAGGAAAAGTCCCAATTCCATGTTCCAGTAGTCTTGTAATGTTGACCTTGAATGATAAACCTTAACCCTCTTGCCACACACACCTTTATTCTGCATAGCTTCATAGTCATGTGCCCTGTAGAAAACAGATAAAGATCTAAATGGATGTTTCTGAAGATGGACTGAGATTCTCCTGGGCCCTACACAGCAAGTATAGTAGTTACTACCTCTCTCTGTAGACCTCTTTTACGGTGAGAGCATAAGCACACATACAAAATAAAAGGACACTGAGATGAAGCCCCCATCAGTGGTGAGACCCCGCCACCATCACTGGACCTCCTTGGACAGAAGCACCCAGGACACCCTACACCTGTCTGCTCGAGTGTAGCACAAAGGACTTACTGGGGAAGCAAATCATCTCTAATGAGAGCCAGAAGACTGCTGTCAGAATTGACCTTCGCTTCCTTCTTGCCATCCCTAGAATCCTGGTTCACGAGCAGGGACGTGGTTTCTGAGAGCAACCGCAAGCTGAAGAGTCTCCACTCCACTTGAAAGTAAAAGAAATGCCAAGAATGTGACTACACAGAGACAGAATGGAAACAGAACGTGGAATTGATGGAATTCTCACTGATGTGGTCACACTTACCGTTTTGGCTTTGAACCAAGGAGACCAAGGGTGGCAGGATATAATCAACCACCTAAGAGAAAAGACATAAAAGACCTGGTTCAGACTGCAACATGAAACTGCTATCCACCACTCTCCATGCCTTTTACACAGACAGAATCACAAAACAACAGAGCAAAGGAGAAAAAAAAACCCAACAGCTAAATTTATCCTGCGCTTAAACTCTGCATGACATTTAATAAACCATCAAGCTCATTTAGCGCTGAAAAAGTCCTCAGGTCAAAGTGACATTATGATCATCAAAACAGTCATTTATCAAAGCCTTCAGAGTTTATGAAAGGAACTTCAGTATATAATACAAAAACTGGTTGGCATGGGTTGACATTAAATCATCAAATTAATACATATAAGCTTGTAATCATTACTCAAGTTTAAACTAAACAGCAATCAAAACGTTGGAGAAAAAAAAGATACATAATCCTCATGTTTTAGCAAATACACCAAAAAGGTATGACAAGTTAATCGTGGTGATTTTTAGAAACAGATTCAAAAGATGTGAATCCATTATACAAACCACCTCTACGACTTTCTAGTTATGTCAAAGAATGATCAAATATAGTTTGAAATCTCCTCCCAAATAACACTTTACCTCCAAACGAAAATGGATGACAAAGGACAAATCATTTCCACAATCTAATTCTGAAAACTACTATCTCATCTGGTGAACTATTCTGGTGACAGTTAAGAAAAATTCCCCTTATTTATTACTGAATTTATTCCTGATCCTAACATGCATGTTTGTTCTTCCCACACTGACAAAAGGGCAGGAGAAGCTGTCCCAACCCAACAACGCCCTTCCCCCGCAACTTTTATTTACTTTTCAGTAAGTTTAAATCCTTGAAGGATACAGCATTACAAATATGGATCATCCAATGGCCTTAGCAGGAAGGTTGCTTGTGCAACCATTTGGCACAAACCATGTCACTGTTTCCAAGAGCACAAGTTGCCTTTCCCCCGATTACTCTGCTTTTGTTCCGTTTTCTACCAGGAGCTGGCTGTGTTGTTCTTTGCCTTGTACACATAATCCCATCTCTTGCCTAGACAGACTTCAATTTTGTCTCGAGCATAAAGACCTTCAATTTTAAGAAGAGCTGTGTGCTCCTCTGGTTCCAGAGACTTCTCTTATGGCTAGTAACGATGGCTTTGGACCACAGCCTTCCAGACATATTTGGCGTTTTACAAACCCTGTTCCCGGAAGGCCTCCACGATGGTTGAAAGAGCAAGGCCCCAACAACAGCCTCTTGCGGTGCAAGCCAATTAAACGATGCCCTACAAAGGTAAACATCTCCACACTCGGGTGTTACCCAGTTCCAGGTCCTAAGTTTAAACACAGTATTACATTTAGGTATTCGTACAAGAACCCTAAGAACCAGGATGTCTTCTTTACCCTTTTCCATTAGGTCATAGATGTCACATCACTCAAAGCAAAGACATAAGCTTTACTAAGGAACTTCTTCCCCCAGGCGACGAAAGGGGAACTTTATTGAGGCCCCAGGGCCATAGGGCTTGCACAGAAGGCCACCCTATGGGCAAAAGAGGAGCCGGTGAAGGGGCCTTACTTGACCTTCTTCTTGGGGCGCAGGCTATGGGTGTGGCTGCACTTCTTCTTGCAGCAGGTGACCGCCCTGGGGTGCAGGCGAGCCTAATACTTGCGGCGGATCGTCTTGCCACAGCTGTATTTCTGGGCTAGCTGACGGAGGGAAGGCTCAGTGATGCTGCCTTGCAGACGAAGCACCAAGTGCAGGGAAAGAGGACTCCTGAATATTGTAGTCTGACGGGGTGCGGCCCTCATCCAGCTGTTCGCCCGCGAAACTCAGACGCTGCTGGTCAGGTGGGATGCCCTCTTTGTCTTTGATTTTAGCTCTGACATTCTCAGTGGTGTCACAGGGCTCAACCTCGAGGGTGAGGGTCTTGCCCGTCAGGCTCTTCACAAAGACGTGCCTCTCGGCCTCTCCTGCCCAGCCGCCTGGCCTCGTCGGAGCGAAAGATGGCGGCGGAACCCGAAACCGCCGACTCGCCGCCGCCGGCGCCTGCGCACCGAGCACGCTGCGTGCCTGCGTCACAAGCTTTACTAAGGAATTTTGAGGACTCTAAATTCCCAGGTACTTCGAAAGCCAGAACTATGCAAAGGAAAGAAATATATCCCACTACCAACACCTATCAACGTGCTCGACGAGATCATTACTGACGTGTCCAACTCAAAAAGTTTGAAAAACAACAATTAAGCACATTCAAAACATTAGGGCTGTTGCACAGAAAATGAACAGACAAAACTCAACAGTATTCCCGTATGCCTACAACAACCAATTATATACCATAATTGGAAAAAGACACCATCTACAACAGCAATAAAAATTCTAAAGTATCTATGATATCATGATTTTTACAGAAAAAGATATATAAAATACTTGCAGGTATGAGGGTCATTGATGGACTTCTGAAAAAAGTTTGAAAGTTGTCACAACCATGTTCACAACAAGAAAAAAGCTAAATAGGGGAGGGGAATAGCTCATTGGTAAAGTGTGAGCTTATCATGCATGCAGAAGTCCTGGGTTCAATCCCCCGTTCCTCCATTTAAACAAAGAAAAGAAAAAAGCTAAATAAACTGAAAATCAACAACTCTTCTCAGATATACCAGAGAATTAAAATCACAGGGCAAACCAGCTACCCCCTAAAACTAAAGAGACAGGCAAATACAGAGAATGATAGCTTAATAGGAGCAGAACCCACCACTGGAGCCAGCAAGTAGTACAGAAATGTAAAGGGTAACTGACTAGTTGTCAGAGCCCGAGCTGAAGGAAGAAAGCTTCTGGAGGCCCAGCCACAGTGGAGCCCCCACATTCCCAGAAGTTCTGCCTCCCAGAGCCCTGCCAGAGTCTCAGGCTGAAGATCAGAGAAAAAAATCCCCTCATGCTTCTGGCAGAGGAAAGGAAAATTAACCACTGTGAAATATGTGCAGAGCATTATTTTCTCCTTAACAAAGGCCTGGACTCAAAAGACATTGTTTTAAACTCACAGACACAGAGAACAAATATGGTTACCAGAGAGGTAAGGGGGTGGGAAGGGATAAATTGGGAGTTCGAGATTTTCAGATACTAACAACTATATGTAAAATAGGTAAACCACAAGTTTCTTCTGTATAGCACAGGGAACTGTATTCAGTATCTTGTACTAATCTATAATGAAAAAGAATATGGAAAGGAATATGTGTATGTATATGTATGACTGAAGCATTATTCTGTATGTCAGAAATTGACACATTGTAAACTGACTACACTTCAATTAAAAAAAGAATGCAAACAACAACAAAAATTATGTCACCATTAAAGAGAGAGAGACTTTTACCAGAAGCCTAACCTACTGGGGTTTCACCAGAATCTAACTGAGCTGGGGGAAAAAAATACCCTACTGCTGAACCTTCTAAGCCTTCCTGTCTCACTGATTTGGCTGGGGGTGGGGGTAGTGCACTGAAACACATTTGTGAGAGTCACAGCCCAGGCATACAGGCTCAGAAAAGAGACAAGACCTAATCATAGGGACCATGGCACGCTTCCCCCACCCCATCACACCTCATCACAACATGGACAGGGCTCCTGTGTAATAACACAGGGTTACAACTCAGAGTGTGGTAAGACATAGGCTTTATTTAAGAAGCAGTTATTAAGGAAACCCAAAAACATGAGAGACAAAACAAGGACATCATAAAGAATTGTAGCCTCTGAAACCTACGGCTATAGCAAACAGTACACACAGCCGGGCTCCTAGCCAGAGAAACAAAACTTCACACTAATGGCTCATTTATCTCAGTTCACTGTACCTGATACATCATGTTAGAGTGAAATACTTGACATGTTGACGTGTTGAGAGGAAAAAAAACACCAACCTAGAATTCTGAGTGAAACTATCCCTCAAGAATAAAAGGAGAAATAAAGATTTTCTCACACAAACAGTAACTAAAGAAATTTTTTGCCAGTAGACCTGCCTTGCAAGAAGTGTTAAAAGAAGTTCTTCAGAGAGAAGGAAGATGACATAGGTCAGATACTCAGATCTGTAAGTTAGAGAAAAAATAAATGAAGGTAAAGCAGTTGCTGACAAGAGGCCTCAGGTCAACTCTCTGCCAATTATTAATCAGTAATTCAGTATTATACAAATAAATATTCCAACAAGGTTTGCATGAACCCCCTCATTCCAATTCTATAATGTATTTGGAAAGTACAGGGTCAAGAATAATGGAAAATTTTTGAAAAAGCATGAGGCAGAAGTGATTCACTTGACCAAGTTTCCAGGTTTACTAGGATGAAAATAAATATGATGATCATATAAGCACAGGACCAGACAAAGACATTCATGGAACAGAAGATAGAGCCTAGAACCAGGCACACGTGGGAAATCAGTGTGACAGAGAGAACACTACCAACAGTGGAAGGGTACACTGACTACTCATCGAAAGGTACAGGTACAATTTAGCTATCTATTTGGTATAAAAAAAAAAAATCAGAATACTAAAAAAAAGTTACAGGAGGCTTAAAGATCTAACAGTTAAAAGAGAAGTTATTAAAGGAAAATGAGACAATAGCTTTGTGATATTAGAGTAGGAAAGGTTTTTTAAATGACACCTAAGAAGTACAAACTAAAAGGAAAACACTAAAAAAAACTGACATTAAAATGAAAAAAAGTTGTATCAAACGAGTCCCCATAAACAAAATGAGAAGAAAAGCCACTGGCTAGGAGAAACTTCTGCAATCCCTACATCTGAGAGTGGGTTCACATGCGGAATACATGAACAGGTGGTACCCAGACGGAAATACCCAAAGAGCCAATAAACAACAGAACTATTCAGTTCCACTAATAATGAGAGAAATTAAAGGCAGCACAAAACTGAGATACCAATTTACACAAATCCAGTTTTACCAAATCACATAATACCAAGATCTTACAACACTAGGGGAAATGGGTACTCATGTACCACAGAAAGTCAGTAAATTGGTGTTATAACTTGGAAGAACAATTTCA